GGCCTTTTCTGAATGGATCAGGTGACAGCTGTGGGGTCATCCAGCATGGACAGACCCGCTGTTCCACACACCCACTGCTCTCTGTGTAAAGAGCGGCTGCCTGTTTTAAGTCCTGAGCGCAGACGCTCAGGCGGAATGCCGGGACAGTATTTTGCTTCTATCTTCGGCGCTGGAAGCACGGCGGCTGAGACACGAAACTGCGAGTTACTCTCTGCCCTGACAAGTCCACGTCAGCTAGAGGCAAATATGAACGTATCTGCAAGGTACTGTATATAGCATGCCAATCCACGTAATAAAATATTTCAAAACGCTAACTTGATTAAACTTAAAATTTACAGTCACGCGAGTTACCTTGGGTCTTTTCCACACTAGTTTGGGGTTGTAGTGCACGGGGAAACTCTTATCCACGAACAGCGCCACTTCCGAGCCGGTCCGGGAAAACGTCCGAACTGCGGTCGGGTTTTCTTCGGCCCGGTGAGCGGTGGGGGGCTGCGTGATGCTGCTTCGCTTAGCCCGGGCGACGTCTCTTTCCATGTCTGTCGCCCCACAGCCTGAACACACCCACAAAAACTATACTGGAACCCGTTGCCGGTGAACCCTGACGGACCACAGCTCAGCTCCCGCACCTACGAGTGGAAACAGTGAAAATGAAAACACTCCTTCGGGTCATGCAGCTGGTGTCTCTCCCCGCTACTCCACCTTGAACCTGTTTTCTGCAATACAGGAAGAGACGAAGAGCGAGTCCCCCTCAGTATTTACCCGCCGACGGTCCTTAACACCGCGTACCTGCGGCCAGACGCTGCACACGCGCAGTCACGCGTGGGTTTCAAACACGCAGGCGGCGCTCCCACCGCCTTGAGAAATTAGAGCTTTACGCTCTTAACCTGCACGGTTCATACTTCCTTCAGGACTCTGGAGGCGAAACACAAGCTAAGCGAACAGACGCCCGGCGGGGAAGATCGGGTAAATCGGGTTGTGTTTTGTGTGTATATAGCGTCACTCACACGAGCACGTCCAAGTGGACTACGACAGGCGTAAAGCACACTCAAAACACCGTTGAACAAGAATGGGGCAATAACTTTTCTACCTCAAACACAGCAAAGTTTAAGCATTATATCGAACAAGGGACTAGCGTGTTTAAACTCGGGTTTAAAGAGAAAGCAAAACTCCATCTGAT